AAAACCAAACCAACAATAAACTTTGTTATATTTGAGGAGCCATTATGAAACTCCAGAACTCTGTTGGAGTTGGATCAGGCTATTTAACAGTATTTCTGTTGTTGTGGTCCAGCTTGTCATACATGCTCAATCAGTTATGAAAGTAAAACAAGACTGTCTCAATAACTTGATAAGTAAAATATTATACATAAAAATTGCTTAATATTTTCAGATTTTAACTCAGCCACAACTCGAAATTAACTGATCTACTTATCTAATATTTAAAATTCTTAATCAATTGCTTTATTAGAAATAACAGTGAAATTTCCAGCTTTTATCATTAATAATTCCTCACAGATTGTCATCCAAACATAGCCTCAAATTTCAACACATGAACATGCTGAAAGTGGGTCGATGAGCAACTAAAAAAAAAGAAAAAAACTATCATTTTAAGCTAATATTTTACAAGCATCTTTATAACTATCCATATTTTATGCTATAAAAAATGTAGGCAAATCAAAGCCAGTCGAGCAAATATTATTACAAATATCTGATGATTTGAGACTGAATGACCCAAATACAATACTATTAAGTTTGTAAATCTTCTGTCTGTTTTGCTGACAGATTCTCACCTTCATTGTCAAACTCAATGCGCTCACAAGCACTGGACGGCGTGATCTCACATTTATAAAGGCCTCCTGTGATCTTGGCTGTTTGTTTTCCCAAAGCTCTGGCTCTTGGTGCACCGATCAACAGCCTGAAGGAACATACAACAAAGAAAGACATTTTCAGGATTCTAGGATCTGGTGAAAAGTATTAGAATCTGCCCTTTTTGGTATAAACGTCTTTCACTCCAACTAGCTTCAGCTACAGCTTCAGTGAACCATCCTCTACATTTGTTAGGATTCCTTTTAACAAGCTCCAGAGTAACAGCTTGTTGAATTTAACACTTGTATGCAACAACATCAGCAGTGGCAGAGACAGCGATATCAAAAGACAGCAAGAATCAATGTTTTCCTGTCTAGAAAAAGTATGCAATATGTCTTCTGCAATACTGATATTGTGGTGACTGTCGCAGAAGAATTTTTTTCTTCTTTTTGTCTGACGGTTTTAGTGAAAAAGCCTAGAAAGCCCAAGCCTATTTGTCTTTCTAAATTACACTGCAGCTGCACTGCAAGTATCTCAATGTAAAGGGCCGCACACGGGGGCAACAAGTACAACAACTTGAAAAAACCAAGAACAATAGTAGCATCCTGGAGGCCTCGTGGCTCAGACACATACCTTATACCCATAACATCCCTGATTCATTTCCGCCAAGGAGCCTTTGTTGCATGTCATACCTCGCTCGCTCTCTCTCACTTTGTTTCCTGACTAAATTGTCAAATAAAGAGTTACTATGTGAGAAAGATCTGTGGGATAAATATGAAGAAAAAACTGTCTGTTTGTTATAACAGAAAAGGATACTCAGTGCTTAAACCCGCAGTACGGATGAGACAGAAATGATCTACTCTGTTTGACTCAACACAGCAAAAAACCCGGAAACCAGATTGGAATTGTTCAAAAATACAACATGAGCCAACAACAACATGTGGCTAACAAGACGGAGGTGTCTCTAATCAAACAGTGTGTACTAATCTTCATAGTTTATTGTTTCAGCACTTAGCATACACAAATATCAACATACATTCTATACAATCAGGAAATGAAACGAGCGATGTTAGCTGACAATCAAACCGCAGCTTTTGAATGAAACTGCCAGTTAAACTTAAAAAATATTTTTTTCTGAAGATTAAATACTTATTTTTTTGGAAATTTTTCAAATGGGTGACCTGTCCAGGGTGTCCCCTTCCTTCGCCCTGAGTCGGTTGGGATGGGCTCCAGCCCCCCACAACCCTAATGAGGATTAAGCGGTGCATAGATGATGGATGGATGTTTCAAATGTGTACCAACAGCACACTCAAAACTAATCATATGTAGAGTGCAACGCTAACACGCTCAGGTTTAGCAGATGGACCACTACCATGTGCACCAAAGCACTGAACACAAAACTCAGCTAAGGCTGACAGGAATGTCACCAATTTTGTAGATGTTTTGCAAATCAAATTTCAACATGATCGTGGAAGAAAGGTTAAGGATCGCCAAAGTTACAACACTTCATCCTGAGGGAAACACAAATCTCTATAATAACTGTTCATCCAAGGAGTTATTGAGAAATTTCACTCAACACCACAAACTATCAAACTCATAGTGGCACTAAAGGAACCAAAATCATTTGTCAACAGGTAACCATGAATATTATATCCATCCATTATCTATACACCGCTTAATCCTCACTAGGGTCGCATGGGGCTGGAGTCTATCCCAGCTGACTCAGGGTGAAGGCAGGGGACACCCTGGACAGGTCACCAGTCTATCACAGGGCTACACTTAGAGACAGACAACCAAGCACACTCACATTCACACCTACAGACAATTTAGAATCACCAATTAACCTCAACAATGTTTTTGGACTGTGGGAGGAAGCCAGAGAACCCGGAGAGAACCCACGCTGCACAGGGAGAACATGCAAACTCCACGCAGAAAGATCCCAGGTGTCCTCACCAGGACCTTCTTGCTGCGAGGCAACAATGCTAACCACTGAGTCACCTTGCAGTCATTTAAAAACCTTAAATTCCAAATAATCTCATTGAGATTCATGATGCTGACTCATCCTGACTATAAAGGCCTTCTGGTACAACTCAATGACAACGAATATTACACTGGAAACAAAGCTGTTCACAAATATGTCTTTTTTATTTTCTATGATTCTTGCATATTGCATGTATTGCACAATTCACAGGACTGATGATTTACCACCATAAGTCTGTCACACAGTCTCTCAAAGAGCAATTACATTTTGTTAGAAGACAGAAAACAGAGAGCTGCCATATGTGACAGTAGACCAGTGTTCGGACAATCTGCCGACAATCTTATGTGAAGTGTCTTCTATATTGTGGTGGTGGTTGTGTGCATGTCTCACCCGTTGACCACAGCTTCCCTACAAAGACCACATTCTCACAGTAGCTCGTAACCGGCATGAAGAGTCGCTGTGTTTCATGGGGGGCAGCAGGCAGTGTGGTGACATTATGAGAAACACTCATGCACTTATCAAAGAGGCGTCATCAGATTTTCTTTTACACATTAGGTTTTGGACTTGCGCGTGCTGCTGGACAGAGAAAAACCCAAAGCAGCCTCAGAACTTCACAATGACACCATTATGAATTTAAGAGCTGTTGCAGTTAGAAAGTGAAGTGCATGAACAGACGTGTTTAATTTATCTGTTTTCCCACAACTGTCAACACAAGTCTAATACTTTCTGTGCTACAAAAAAAAAATGCTTTTAAGGTTTCTTTTTATTTGACAGAAAGCAAAAGGGTCTAACAACATGAAATCTGAAGTGTTCATTTCAAGAGGAAACTGTGATATAGAACAAAAACTATAAAGCATAAAAAGATGATAGAATCTAATTCAGAAAAGAGTAATTTTAACTCTCAGCTTAAAAGAATAATAGTTGAGACTTCTAAATGATAGTGTAAATTTTCTTGACTCAATCAGCGGCAACGTAGATAGTTACACATAGTTTTGAGAAGATATATCTGTATATAATAGGAAACTAATGCACACACACGGATGCAGTGAGGTGCTGATGACTTGGCCTTCAGTCCTTTTTCAGCATGACTGTCGACTTGAAAAACGCCTGAATGATGAAACATGTCATCCAAATGAAAGAGAAAATGCATATGAAGCAAAAGTGCACAACACTTTTTTTCCGTGCTCTCAGGAAATATACCTGGGTCAGCAACTGTCTAACTCGCTGCACTATCTAAGTTAAGCTTTGTGTTTAACACCTTTGCAATGTGGTGACAGCAACCTCGCATTTGTAGCCTTTCACATAGTGTCGAACCTCTGCAAGGGTACAGCAGAAAACCACAAAGCATGTGGGCCATATTTCCTATTAGTGGCATCAGAGCAACACACAACACAGCGGCAGCCACACACTTTTGAAATGTGTCATTTAATGCAGAGCATTTAGAGACTCGAGGCTGACTGAAGTCTTCACTTAGACTTTAGGAACATCTCTGTAAACTTCTACTGCAGGATGTGAATCACTACGGACTGATTAGAACTAAAACAATAGTTTCCCCAATAAAGACTGTTCACTTAAGCAACATAAGGTTAAATTTTTTTTAAAGTTAATTTAGTCTGTTTTTCTCACAGTTGTATAATCACCAAAACTCTTAGCGTACGTTGTTTTTTCTCTGTATGAATGACTGCCGATGAGACGCTACACCACCATGTGTGAGCTGAGCAGCAAACTCACAATGTAGGAATTTCTTCAAAGGAGGGAGAGGAAATCCTCTCCACCCTTTTCTCCTCTCCGTGACTCTGCAGTTCCTTCTATAAGCCACCTATTGATCTGTTGAGCTGCCCTGTGCCTCTTCATTTGCTTAAACAAGGAGGCCTCATGGAAGACTGGAGACCAAACCGTAAACTGTCTCCTCAAACAAAACCCAGTGAGATGCAAATACAAACAGGAGGCTTTACAGTTGGCTTAAGTGTCACATTTAAGCTTCTGAGCTACAGGAAAAGGGTGACAGACTGCAGAGATTAAATGGAGTTTCTTTAGTTTGTCATTTTTGAGTAAAAATTCCAAACATTTGTGGTTCCACCTTTTCAAATGTCAGAATGTGACATATGACATAAAAACAGAACATGTCTGGGTGTCAGATTGTGTTTCAGATATAACAAATCATGAAAATGTAATGATATCAAAATGTTTTTCTGTTTTCTGATATAAGAAATGGATCACCTAGAAAAACAGTAGATTAATCGATAATGGGAATACTTTTTGGCTGCAGCCCCCGTGAAAGAAATCACACAGACAGAGATTGTGTTATCTTCAATTAACAAAGAGTACACAATTAACGATTAATGAATGATTAACGAATGAAAGCTTTGTCCAAGCAGTGGACATCTGCTGTATGTTTCAAGAGGTATTCAAAGTGTAAGCTGCCTAAATCCCTCTTTGCCTCACTAAGAGAAGTAAAATCCACGAGGCCACATGCAGGAAAACACTCCACTTTTGAAGAGCTTGTAACACAGGTAAAGAGAAATACTTGCAACTTAAGAGCAGAGCTACTCATCACTGTGAAAGCTGTAGAATTTAGCAAGTAACTGTGGAGTAACATTGACATGCAACACGTCAGTCAAGTAGACACATGCACTAGTTTTTCAGTTTGAAAATAGAAAAAAATACACTAATTCATCCGCCTTCTAGCAGCTGGAATTAATGCAAAGTTTGCTTGCAGTGTGACAATTATAGAGTAGGAAAAGTCACACTGGAAATACATCAAAGTGTGCTGATAAGAATGAAACTGACTTCAAACTTTATGGTCGTGTTCTTTGCTTCTACAGAGGCCGCTCCATAAAACAGGACTGGCACACTGGCTGATTTTAGCTCTTCATGGATGTGTTATTATTCACATACTAAAAACTGTGGTGCAAAAATGCTAAATATGTCTGACGTAGGGAGTTTATTCTTGACCCCTGAAAACTGTAGTTTGGCCTAAAAAGAAGTATTTTTGGGCCACTCTGGGAAAAGTATAGGCATGCATGTCAAATGTAAAATGTCCCACTATGGATATATCATACACTGAGTCACACACTGTGAGTAATCCGTAAAAAATGTCATTTGTAACCCTCTTGTTGCTGGATTTTTCAAACTTACATCTACCCAGTATGTGTCAGTCTACAGCGTGAAACCGCATCCCATCATGCACATTGTCTTTCACTGCAGTGTAAATGGGAATGCATGGTGACTGGTGTGGGTTTACACAGTGATCTCACTGGTCTCCGTTAACAGATGTGCTCCAGCGCTCTCACAGCTGTGCACTCGAAGCAAGAAGAACTCACAGGAACTGCTGCAGCTGTTCTAACTGTTTCAGTTTGCACATTGCCCACTGATTGGTGCTGACCTGTGATTGGCTGGAAACACATCACAGAAGGAACCATGAATATTCAGCATGTCAAGCAAAGAAAAAAAAAGTTTGAAACAAGTTCCATGCACCTGTTTAACTGCGTTTATTAACCCCTTTCTTCGAGCGCCAATGCGAAGTTTAACTGGAACGACTGATGATTCACTGATGCGGCTAATCTACGGGTTACATGTGCACAGATGGCCGTCCATGTCCAGTCAAACGCTCTTTTCCTCTGGTTTCATACAAAGGATGTTAAATCCACATCATTAACCGTGCACATTATTCATGGAAGAGGCATCCAGTTGCCTCTTTGCAAGATGCCACATTATATTCAGTCTTGTTTTGAAACACGGATTTCCTTGTTGCTTCAGGAAGATCTGATAACACCAAGAAACCATTAGAGGAACAGCAAGGAGAGAGTTGCAGAAGTGGCTATAAATAAAAGAACAGTCCAGTCAAAAAGAAGTGTTGAGAAGATTTGTTTTTTAGCTCTGAAACGCAGAAGAATGAAAAGACAGTTTGCATTTGTCATGAAAGGAATCTGGCCTATTTAGTCATATCTATATTTCACCTCCTGTCGCTTGTTCAGGAAAAAAGCCATGTGAAGGCCAGCGTTTCTCTCTTCACATATGATTTATAATAATCAGATTAATGTGGCAAGCAGAGGTTTGCAGCTGCCAGCGATCGTCATCAAACGCATGTTCATACGAGAACAAGAGCAACAGATGCAGAGTGTGTGACACATCGCTGACTGTTGGTTTCAGTGTCCGTCACTGCTCCTAGTCAGACAAGGCTGTTCATTACATGGGTCTGTGTGCTCTGCTGAGCTTCCACTTGACTCGTCTGGCTGATTATCTCAGGGTCACATGAGGATTTAGAGCTAAGATCACGGCTGAGGAGAAGGAGCTGCTGTTTACTCCACACTTTCCTCCATTACAACAACAAGAACCGCTGTGCGTTTCCATACAGTGACTCTGTCTTCATATATTTTCATCTGAGACACGAGAGCTCAACAATGTGAATAATTTTAAACAGGGCAGCAACTAGCAATCGACTTCATGATCTATATATTACATTTAAAAAGTGATTGATTTTTAGTAGAGGTGAAACCAAAAATGAACAGATAAAGAAAACCGGCTGCTACTTTGATAAGTTGATGATTTGTTGAAGTTATTTTTGAGCCCTCTAAATGCAAAGCTTTGTGTTTTTATTGCTCCTCTTACATTTTTACTCACTGTAGGCTCATTTTTGACTGTAATATAAAGTCCTGCACCACTATGGAAACAGCACAACCATGGCTAGAAGTAGAGAGAACTCAAAATGTCTTCTGTGCAGTTTTTTTTTTAAAGGGGGAAACAAAAGTTGAATTTCTCTGATTAATCATCTTACAAAAATCTACAACATTTTACCAAGCACCCACAGGTGTTACCAATCCTGAAAAAATAGTAACTGTACATACTGTAGACATTTCACTAATTACATTTTAATTTGTTTCCATACTTGTGTCCTATCTGCTTTGTATAAACACAGCCTGCAGTTTAGCCTAAAAGTCCCTGAACTTCTGACATTTGACTGTTTGTCACAGCTAAGCCACTGTGGCTTCACGGTTTTGCCGAGGAGTGCAGACTTTTTCGTTTTTTTATGGAATCTGGTTACTGCAAACACAATTTTTGGCAAGTTTTTTAAAAAATGAAACGTGTACAATAAAGAGATTTTGATAAAATACCCTAAAATTTTAATTTAAGTTTGGTTAATTTTCCCAGCATGCCACGGAAAATCAGTTCATGGACTGTCGGAAAGTTAGAAATCTGACAATTCTTTCTGCTTTAACAGTTTGGCTCTAATAAAGGTGTCACTTTGGCAATTTTTTAAAAGACTACATGGCTTTTGAACCCAGCAGCAGGTTCTGGGGTTGACAGGGTGAGGCAAAAATACCACAACCTTTCATGTTTTGATCATCTATACATCATGGTCTATCAAGTTATTATTATTGAGTAATAAAACATGAATTAGTTTTAGCTATAACTGAGGACTAGAAAAAAACACCAACATGTGACATCTAAGTATTCCTGTTTAGTCTTGCTTATATATATTACTGTCATATATATAGTACAGGGGCTGTAAGTCACATGCAGTGGTTTTGTTTTTTTGTTCTCATGAACCAAATTTTGCACATGATGGCAGCTTTTCTCATACAGCAGCATGTAAGGGAGGCAAATCTGCACTCTCCTCTTACTTTTACTGGTTGAAAACAAACTATCAAGCCTGTGTCACATTTCAAGCGTCTATTTGCCCAACAAATATGACATCAGTTTCAAGACTTTTCCCTCTTGTCAAGTCTGGCACATGCAAAAGTGCCTCTTTTCAGTTTACAGGGCTCTTTGTGTCCAAAGGAATCCTTGCACAACAACAGATTTTGGAAGTTTTGCACAGCTCACTACACCGTGACCTGCTTTTGCGCAATAGCCAAAACAGCAGTTAGATAAAATTCCAGAAGTTAAGTCTAATCAATGTCATCTTTGGGAAATCTCTTTAAGTCTTGTTATCAGGGCGTCTCATCCCTGCCCTGTGTTTCTCAACATGCTCCTGCAGGGTCCTCTGCCTGCCAGCACAGTGCCTCCTGCACAAAGCCTCACTCTCTGTGCAGGCTTTGATATGCCACTCCCTCTCCTCAACTTATCCCTGTTACACTTTGTGTGACAAGAGGATCAGACTCACTACACCGCTGTCTATTCTGCCCCCTCAGGGCGGGCCGAACCAGACAATTTCCTGTAGTGTACGTATCACAGCATTGCCAGACATTCTTGAAACGCTGCATTGAAGAAATATTTTAAAATTAGACTGCTGTTTACTTTCATCTTGGCACAAACTTAACACGTCTCTGATTTGGCGCGTTTTTGTACATGTGAACATGTGCCTGTAGGATCAGATACCGAGACGAGTGTTTATCAATCCAACTTTATCAGTAAAAATGCAGAATGGAAAAGCACCTGCTCAGTGACTCAGGGAACTTTTTCAGGTTTTTACAGAACAACCCAGGAAACACCACTGCTAGGAGGGAATGGATGATATGAACAAGCAAAACTGATACAGAAAAATTATCTTTTTGCTGTGAAAACAAGATTACCTACCTATCTAGGGCTACAACTGTACCCTTAAAATCTATAGTAGCCACACCTTTGCAAAGCTTTCCAGAAAATGATTTTTTCTTTTTTTAATCTCCATCATTATATCTCTCCTCTCACTGCTCCCTTTTGACTCTCCAGGCACATTTGCATGACACTTCCAGCCATTGTTTTTGCACTTGTTGTCCTTTGGCTGCTTCCCATTTCATATTCAAAGCATCACTGCATGTGGGGAAGTCGAAATCTATTCAAAATCAGAACAAAACACTAAGAGCTCTGGGAGACAGTTACAGTAACTTTCATGAACAGGTTTCTCCAGGTTAAGCCAGATTTATGCAGACAAAAATTAAACTGAGTGAAAATGATTCATGTGTCTGCTGCCTCTCAATCAGTTTTTTTCAGTACATGCAAACCAATTTGAATTTGCATGACTTTCTAAATAGCAGCCAAAAAGCCCCCACAGAGAGAAGTGAATCTGCCTCCTCAGGTGTTCTAGCAGCAGATCGAGATAAAAGCTTTACTCACATCATTTTATCCGGGTTGAGCTGCCGGTGCATGGCAAGAGAGAACCCGAACAGACTGCCCGGCTCCCCGTGTTTCCTGATGACATGACCGGTGTCCAGGTTGAAGGCGAGCACCAAAGCTGGCTCCAGGAAATATAAACTCAATAAAAGTGCAGCAGCAGCAGTAGCAGAGAGTTCTCCCTGCAGCAGCATTGTAGATCCAGATGTGTCCAACAGTCCCAAAGTTGAGAGCCGCAGGTCCCGCAGCTCCTCTCTGCTCAGTCAATTGATGACTGAAGGCTGTAGTGGTTTTAAGGCTCCCAGCAGCAGCGCCTCCTCCGGCCGACAGGGCGAACTGCAGCAGGGGAGCGCCTCATGAGGTAGATCTGCATTGTTGGACCACATACATGACATATGAGAGATTGAACAAATATAATTGTGCTCAGATAAAATAAATAGCCTCAAAATGTGTTATAATTGTAATTTATATTCCTCATATAGCCTTCCATTTGGCATCACCATTTTGTTTCACAGCATTCCTCATTTGTGACATGATATTTAACAGCAGGTGACAGGTGACATCTGTCTGACTTAAATTCAATTTTGTTAACTCTGAACAAAAAGACTTTTTTTGCACTAAAGATGAGTTGAAATCTGTGTATTACTTCCTTGAGTGCCAAAGCTTTGGAACTAATCAATCAAATGTTCCTCCTTCATTTATATTTTTAAGAAAAATATCAGGACGTTTGTGTTTTCAATAGCTTTTGTTTGCTTATAATGGTCAAAATATTTAAGTATTCCATATATTTCTTTGTTGTTGCTTTTTGAGTACTTCATATTTATTTTGTTTTGCAAACTGATGTTACAAGTCTGTATCCTGACCTACCTTTTGCACATATTTTTTGTTGCTGACTGTCCTATAACATGTGCAGCCCTTAGATCCACTCAGGTTTTTTTTTTGTTGTTGTTGTCTTTTTAAATACGTACGATATAAATAAACTTGATTTGATCTGAACACATAAACGTATATGTTTATACTGTAATTGAAAGAGTTAGAATTTGTCCCACATCAGCTCCTGTTTCTACATTCTGAGACAGGCAGTAGACGAATGGAGCAGCCAGGAGCACATTAATGAAGTTTGTTTTGCTATTTTAGTTGGGTGGCTGCACAAAGACAGCAAGTGTGTGCGTCAGCTGGACAAATAAACCTCCGAAATTCAGACGGACAAGGAGACAAGCCGCTGTGGGTCGTTAAACAGCCACACAGTGTTTTAAAGACTCAGAATATCAGGATTTACTGTAAAATAAATAAACTCTATGGTGATTAAAACAGAAAAAAATGAAAAATCAATTTGATCAGGGGCGAGACAATCTGGTAAGAGGTTAATCATTCTCCTCAAGAAAATTGGAATAAAATATTTATGTGTGCCATCATTAATAACACCTGCTGAGCACCATGCTCATAAATAAATAATCACTCCAGAGGAGACTCTGATTTCATTTCAAAATCATATCTTTCAACCTCTAGCGATGCTCATATTTTAACTTCAACTGAAAGATCATAGAGGAGCAGCTAAAGGAACATTACGATCCTCCAGGTTTTAGGAACTCTTTCACAAACAGCTGAACAGACTTATCCCTGGAAAACTGGCATTAAGGAGTCTGAAGTTTCCACCCACGAGCAGGAGTGATACAGGCCATTGTGTGTCATCTTCCCCAACCTGCCAGCCAACATTAAGCAGATTCATTGTGCTGCCCGACCGCTTCTCCTCTCTCAGTGTATCTGCTGGTGTTTGATGGTGGTGTGAAGTTTGAACCAGCCTGGGCCACAATCACACAGCAGAACGCGACACAATGTGGGCATTGTTGAAGTTAGAAAGAGCAGCGTATGTCAGTGTGTGTGTGTGTGTGTGTGTGTGTGTGTGTGTGTGTGTGTGTTGGCAGCCCGCGGACGGGGGTGTGTATGCGCCTGGATGGATGGGGGTGATTGGGTGGGTGGGGGTGCAGCCGGGTCTTAACCACATTCCTAATTGCAGCAAAAGACTTGGGGGGGTTCTAGTGTAAGACATGTGAAAGGCATCTCTGTTGCTGTGGGTTTGGTAACAGATGCATCAGATCTTAACACATCACAAGCCTCTTTACTGATGTCACCCACAGTCCCCACAGTGCACGCTCTCAGAAGACAAATTCTATGAGGCAGATCATTGAAAATCTGACTCACATTAATACAGATGAATTTTTAGAGAGACAGCAGTCACAGCTTTATGCACATGTATATTTTGGTCATAAATCTGTATAATTAATCAATTGTAAGTTTGAAAAGAGGTGTAACTTTAATATCAAAATACTAAAAGAGAAAACAGAGTAAATCAGTCAATCAATACAAAACAGCAGGGAAAGAAAACAAATGAATTAGTGGATGACGAAGGCAGAATCGGCAGGAACTCCTAATTTTACCCTTAATTTTGATTTGAAATTGATAACAGCAGGATAGATTTAATAAGAGATGGGAGACTGTTCCAAAGCCAAACCAAAGCAGCCCTGGTGCCTTTTTATTGAGTGAGAGACCGAGGGGAGTAACTGTGATGATGATCTAACTGGCCTAGGGACAGAAAACAAACTTAACACATTGATAGTTGGACTCAGTATAAGTCAGACTAGTCGGGTAAAAGCCGAGCACTGGCCGCTCATTTCAGGCGGCTTTCTCCTCCCCTTTTGCAACCTGCATGCTTCTGTTTTCAGAGTCCACTTTATAATAGGAAACAACAATAACAACAACAACATGCTCATACCACCCTGAAAATTTCAAGCTTTGCAGAGGATCTGGATCGTGTAGTAAGGCAGCACCGAATCCACATGTTTTGTTTAACTCTGCTCAAGGCTATTGTGACTGGTTTCAAGAAACACAAACAGGCCACAGCATTGTTTTCCGCTACAGCAGACAGTGAATTGCAGCCAGACCATTATGCAGTATAGAATGGGCTGGCTAAGCGAGACTAGCACATTGGTGATGTATTGTAGATGATTAAAGGCAAACAAATAGTACAATTTTAAACTTAACTCTGTATTTCACCAGCAACCGGTGGAAATTAGCCACAACCGAGGTGAAGTGCTGTCAGTCTAACATACAAGAATGTTACTGTAAATGCCTGGATAACAGTTTCCTTCAGTTTGGCGATGGTTCTTGCTGATGATGCGGCACATGTGTCAGCAAATTATCATATCAGTGTTGCAGTATGAATCCAAATAAAGAAAAAAACAGTTCTTTTGCTCCAGTGGTTCAACTTGGTGTGGTCTGTGTGTGTCCCCAGGAGTGTAAAGGTGTGTAACTGCCTTCACCTGAGTTCACCCAACCTCAAAGAAGCAGAGCTTTCATGTCCCCTCTTGCCCTGGGTGGTTGTGTAACTTGAGCAGGGACAGAGGGTGAAGCTGGCCGGCCCTGTATTGTCTCAGGTCAGTGGGAAGAGAGAAACCGGAGACGTGGTGCAGGTCGAGGAGATGGACCCCTGCAGGTGACGAGGTCTTTCTTCGCAGATTAGCAGCACTTTTGTTGGAACAGAATGGACGCTCACTTGAAGAAGCCTGAGTGGCCCCCGCAGTCAAATCACTGGAAGAGAGATTAAGCTGGTTAAATTCAGATTTTGAGTTAACAAAACCCAACGTTTCACCAAAAAGCAAAATGCAAATAGGTAGTTGCAGTTTTATCACCATAACTGTTCATTTCCACATTCAGTGTTTAGCTTATACAAGTAAACTGACACCTGCTCACAACCCAAACTGCTCTTTTTCTATTTTAAGTGGTTGTGGGTAAAGGCTGATATTCTTAAAATAAAACCTAAGAGGGGACTGTTATGTAATATTACATGCATTCTTTTGGTACATATAGTTTGAAAACTTGACTCGACTTTTTCACTCTCCATCTCTGGGCAGATACTTTGCAGTCTAGTCAGTCTGGCTTAAAGCTATAAAGAGAAAAGATGTAACGCACTGATTCCAGAAATCACCGCTTGTTCCTAACAACCTCAGTCTCCACAGTAAGTCAAGATGTTAAGACAAGTAAGATACTGTCAACAACATCTACCTTTGATTTAAATAAATAAAGCTTAAGGTATTTCGTGTGGTTTTAGGATGAGGAGAATAAAACCTTTGTATCGTTCTACAATGTTATTTACACTGAACCCTAATAGTTAGTTATTCAAAATAGCAGCATGTTGCACTCATTTATGGCTCAACCAACAAATGTAACAGCAGCTGTTTTGAGCTTCTTTTATTTGACTTTTTTTTATTCATGGACAGAAGTTTTGCTCAGAGATGCTAATCTCCAGTTACTGTTTTGGAGGGATTTCACTGATTTGCCACCTTCATGCTAAAGCTGATTTTTAAAAGCTCTGCAATTCAAATCCTGGTAGAACAGAAGGGTAAGCTCCTTAAGTTTCACAGTACTGAAGTCTACATAACAAAAACTGATGGAGGAAACCAAACCCAAAAGTTATCGGAGAGGCAAGGAAGCATGCCCAAAATGCGCAGCTGGCGTAGGCAATTTGCTGGTGTGCCAAGGGATTAAACCATAGTGATGACTATGATACAACGTAAACAGATGGATGTTGTCGCTTTAAATGGAGGACTTCTATAATACTTTACAATGACAGTAGATTTATTCAGACATTAAATCCTATATTTTTGGTATCAGCAACAAGCTGGCCATCTTTGACAGAGACACTCACAGCTTTATTAGTGTGAATTCTTGGGTTACCAGCACTTCTGGTGAGACAGAAGGGACAGCTCCTTGAGTTTCAAAATTAAGCCAACATAACAGCGACTCGTGGAGGAAACCAAACCCACAAGTTATCAGAGAGTCAAAAAACATGCCCGAAATGTACAGCTGGCACAGGCAGTTTGGAGGCTGGTGTGAAAGGATTTTGTTATTTTAGAATAAAGCAGCTTTAAATAGAATACATTTATCTCTAATCCAAGTGGTTTGTGACAGTTATGCAGCACAAAGAAGCATGTGCAGTTATCATATTTCTTTTTTTTTTTTTTTGCCTTTTTTTCACACATTAAACCAAAACATAAATAAGATGAAAGACTAGATGGGGAGGAAGTACAGTACAGTTCCAGTGCAGTGCAAAATGTGAATGAATTGTCCCATTATTAATTTAATTAAAGGTGGTGGTAAACAGAAAAGTCTTGTGCCCTGATTTTAAAATAATCTGAGAGTTAGAGCAGACCTTATTTTGGGAGGTTTGTCTCAGACATGTGGTGTCCTTGACCGAATGCTGAGACTGGTACTAGTATAATTCAGCCATGTGAAAAGTAGGCA